CAACTAGGCGACCATTAACGATAAACAAGACAATATGAGAACCAGAATATAACTTCCTTGAAAATAAAAAGGAACCCAAATAATTATTCGGCCAAATGCACATGTACGCATGATTGATAAAAGAAAAAGTTGCAGGCGTATGAAAATAGGACAAAATGTTGCTCATTGATAATACTTATTGAAGAATGACCCTACCAACATGCTGCAATTTTTCTTGAGTCGACACAATGAGAGTACGCTCAATGGGATGCAGGAAAATGGCCAAGCAGACTAGCTGGTCGTTGAGGCCCTGCACCCCTCGCACCAACGTCAACAAGCGTACCGGATGCGGCAATCGGGCCAAGCTGGCGAGAGCAGTCTGAGCTGCAATCGGCGACTGAGGCAATGTCGAGGATGGAGCAGTTTCTGGTTCAGTGGGGCAGGCTGAATCAGTTGAAGAAGTTGCCACTGCTTCTGTGGACGAAGCGGACAAAGCTGTCGGAATTGACCTTGTGCCGGAGGGTGGTTCATCGAATTTGTGCACACACACCCAAGTAGAGAAGGTGAGACCATCTGCCGGAGGGAATATTCGTTCGCCTGATCATCCAAAATGATTCGGTGCCACAGGGTTTCGTGATGGTAGGAAAAATATAAAAGTGAAATGCAGAATTACTAATAAGGATATATGGATATATTGTATCCAAATCCCTAATTAATATATAAATAGAATGCTTTATAGCCATGGAAAAACAAGCAATGCCACCACTTCGTTACATTTTTACAGCCATCGAGACTCTTTTAGCAGCTATCCAGGACCCAATTAGAATAGGCTATAAGGTTATATTGCAAATTGTCTATAGATATCTGATAGCGAATTATGCGTTTGGAGTGATGAAGCAGCAGCTTCAAGGCTCACGGATAACTTCCAATTCAAGAAGCTATAAGCGGTATCAAGCCCTCACTATTTTAGAATTGGAAGCTAGATGAAAAGCTTGTTGTTTAAAATATGCTAAAAGAACGGAAATATCAAGAGCTTTGTAATTTGTCATAAAGAATAAATCAAGATAAATCTCGAAATATAGTATTTATAATAGAAGAGGGTTGACCTCGTTGTCGCAACTTGGTCTTGTGTTCAGGGAGACTATGTAGAACGCACCGAG